AAATTAAAGTATAATGAGTTTAGTAATAAATTTAAATATAATGCGTTTAGTAATCAATTTCAATGGAATGAGTATTATGAAAGTATTGTGAACTTAAACTTTGTTAATTTAAGTCTTTGTAAAAGATTTCCTGAAAGCTAATCAATTAGAGCCCAAGCAAATTTTTGTTTAGTTGCATACTATGCACGTATGGTGCATAACCTTATTTAGTTTGTGGTCTTTGTATCTTTTCTTTTTTTTAAGTCCATGGTCGTATTAAGAAGGTTGCAACCTCTAAGTCTATCAAAATTATTTTAGTAATAAATAATGAACATATGATCATAGCTCTTGTTACTTATGCGGGAAGGGAAAGTATATTTTAGTTTTATCATGAACCAACTTATACTTAAATATTCACTCAGCTATGATTGAGAAATACAACTCTTTGTTTCCTATACATGTAATTTATTCGGATTCAGAAATCCGAAAACTGCAATGTTTCTAGAGATTTTATTTATCCACTCTTTGTCATTTGATTTAAATTCTTATTTTAGCAATTTTAGATTTAGTGTCTATATGAAAATTTGAGGTAATTCGATATCTTTTAGTTTAGAGGGAGTTTTAGAATTTTTTTACATTGTGACAAACAATTGCAATACTACCACCATTGTCATCCACACATCAAAAAGCATGGAAACAAATGAGTTCGATTTAAATTATTGCATAACACTGTACGTAAGTACCTATAGGTTGTGTCAGTGTGTGTCGCATTGGAAAGCTGGGTTTGTGGTTGTAGTTGTACATATTCCTGAGTAAATGAGATTGCGTAATTTTCTTAAGCCTTAATGTTATTCTAGATGCAACTCCTGTTTTAAATTACGATTGACAATACCGCTGGCAATGCCAGTTTATTTTTCTCTATGGTAACGTGTATGCGAGTCTAAAATACTCGCGAATTATTAAACTAAAGTTTCTGTACGGAGTATGCTTAAAAAGGGAGTTGTAATAGATAGGTACGCTTAATTTGAATTGTGTACATAAAGTAGACTTTTTCTAGAGATGAGACAATTTCTTAATTAAAAACTTACTTTTTGCCAAATACTTTTTTTAAATATTATTGTTAGATGAATTTTGAACAATAACTCCACATACGTAGACAATTTTCAAACCAATACTCCTTTAAACATTGACTATAGTTTCCAACTTTTTTAAACTATTTATAACGGCTTGTCTGTGTTTCACAGCTAAGCAATCTAGTATCTAAACAAATGAAAATACCAGTTGTAAAAATAATAAAATAAAAATATAATAATGAGACGTCAATTAATTGCTTTTTATTACCTATTTTTTCCTTTACATAATTGACTGGAAGGTCAATTTATACTTATACAAATGTATATTTATCAATTTTTGAAAGTCCATTTCAACTTAAGAATGAAAGCTAACTTGATAGACAGGAAAACGATCCGAAACAGGAATGTCCTCTGCATAGTTCTAGCGATCTGCTTTATCAGGGAATTCACTTTTGTTAAAAATAATAGCGATGTTTAAACCCACACTGATACAAGGTACAATTACTTTAAAAATATGATTTGTTTTACAGTCAGCTTGTCTCATCATCTGACGGTAATCAAAGCAAGTGCCAAAAGTACAAGTATATGTGAATTGAAATACATTCTCTGGTTTTGCATTCATATCAAGATTCTTAAAGATTTCTAAGTAGGCCAGCTAATGCCGTACCGTATTGAAGGTATTTATACAATCGTAACTTTATGGCGAAGACAGGTCCTCATAAAAACCTTCTGTAAACTCCAATTTACAATCCGCGAATATTAGAACTACGGAATGTTATAGTAGACATAGATTCCTCATTTCCTAATATTTTAATGTCGTTTGAATCAAATACAATATTTAAGTTACGTAACTTTGTAACGTTGCGACCAATACCGTGGCTGAACATCAAACCTGTGGGAACTTGCTGACCTATAAAATCTTACGCCATAGGTAATTAAAAATTATTTGCATTGCTAAAATCATAAAGTTTGTTACAATACCACTTGCATTTACGCTAGTATTTACTTAAATATCAAAATAGATACTGCCGACACACTATGTTTAAACAGTGAGCTTGGCGGAATATAAAAACTTTTCAATGATTATAAATTTGCGTTAGTGGGTAACTTAAGTAAGATACTGTGTTAAGGTTGTCTTAATATTTCAAGTAACATTCAACAGCATATTTAAATTTGGTTAAGTTATAAACTATAAGGATACGAATATTTGTATTTAACAAAATTTATTAGACAAGTGTGTGAAATCAAATATTTCCAGACTGAAAAATGCGATTAAAGAAATAAATTATTTTGTTTGTGTTTTACTCTATAAAAAGGCTGCTTTCAACTCTAATCCCCAATAATGTACTGGGGCTTTAACTATTATGCACATTTAATAGTAGCTTATGTACCTATAGTATGAAAACAGGAGTGCAATTAAAACGTTTAAAATTTACTTCCATTGGTTACGAAGTCACATTTAAAATAAAATAAAAGCCGTGTGATGTCGTGGGACACCCGATAGGAACGAAGTTGTGACGATCGAGTAAAACTGATTCGACACGATTTTAATTACAACGCCATCTATGAAAGCGGCTATTACCTACATATTTTTCAGTTGGTTTCTAATTAAAACAATTTATACATTGGTAAAATCTCCTTGAGAAATGATGTCGAATACAATATTTTTTGCTCAATCTAAGAACATAAATTTTAATTTTACTGAGATGAAAAGTAATGATTTCCTATCTATTCGATAGATGGCGCTGAATGACTGACAAGTGACAATTCAAAATAAAAAGTGTCGTTACAACTTTTCGTGAGATTTTTTTCAAGAACTTCGTTCCAAAAAAACATCAAGATATATTTTCAAGGCAATATACACTACAGGCAGCGTAGAACAAGCAACAATTTAGTATATACTCAATATTTCTTGTTACTATGTATATTTATAGCGAATGTGGTCCAGTGATTAAAAGAAAGAAAGACACAAGAATAATTAGTACTTAGAACAAAAATATTTGATCTGCTCACTTAGTATCTGTCCGCTTACCTTAAGGGATACCGTTTAACTAGGTAGTTAAGGATGAAAAGATCGTGAATAAGATGTTTTTTTTCGTTTTTGTTTTAAAAGACCCGCACTAGGAATATATCCTGTGTACTTTAGGACTTTACAAACATACATGAAACGGATACAAAGGATACCCAGACTCATAACAACGATTTGTGTATTATACAAAGTGTTGTTCCATGTGGGGATCGAACCCACAACACTTAGCTCAGTGAGAAGCGGCAAGGTGACCGCTTAGACCACAACGCCATCCGCCATAGTTGTGTCAGATTATTATAATTTTTAATTCACAAAGTTTAATAAGAGTGCCATTGATACTAAAAACTTTGATTGAAAAATAAGGAAACTAGAAACTTTAATACGATATAGTGCCCCGCAATAGGACCTAAAGTCTTGAATTGGTAGCCTTTATAACAATCTCTAAGTCAATAAACATCCAAGTCAACCAAAACTGATTCAAATAAAGCAGCCAAATAATTAGCATTGAATGTAGTAAAATCAATCATCTTTTATGAAATTTGAAAACTATTCTCTTGATCCTTAATATAAAGTAAATCTGACGTAAGATGAAAGGCTCTAACTCTAATATTTATAACTATCCACATTTTTCTCTAATTTATTATAAATTCAGTATGTATTCTAACGTTAAACATTTTAATTTTTTTTTTTTATGTTCGACGGGCCAGACGAGCAGACGAACGTCTGCAACTCAGGAGTCACAAACGCGTCGATGACGTTTTCCCGAAAAATATTGGGGCGGCCGGTATAAAAGACATCTCCCGTGCTATCATCTGCATAGCAATGGATGCTACTAGTTTGCAATATGTCATGGATATGCAGAAGAAACAGTGTGGGTGATAACAGCCTTGTGGGACAACAGCATTTTCGAATTTCAAGTCGGAGCATGCACCGTCGACAACGACCTTAATGCTTCTGTCCGCAAGGAACCTGGTGACCCAATTACACAATTTATCGGGAAGCCCAAAAGAAGGAGACTTCGAGAGAAGCGCCTTATGCCAGACCCGATCGAAGGCCTTCGCTATGTCCAAACTAAACGCACAAGCCTCTCCTTTGGTCTCGATCGCCTGTGCCCACCGGTGTGTTAGAAAGACGAGAAGATCACAAGTTAAGTCTCCTTTAGTCACATATGTATAAAAGTTAAATAAAATGACTTATTATTTTAAACCTACTTAAACAATAGAGGGAAGATTTACAAAAAGTCGTACTTTTATGGATACTTAATTATTCTCCTGTTTGAATTTTAACAAGTTTTAATGTATGTTTGTGAAACTTGGCATTTCAATCTAATTTAGATAATAGGTATTAGTAGTCACTAAAAAGCAATTATTTTTTTAAACATAACGGAAAAGGGAAAACTTAATCTCTATCTTAGGAAATATAATGGTCAGGCAATGCAGGCGGGCGGGTCCTGACACATACGTTGTACTACATTGCTTACGTAATTCATACCGCTTGTAAATACATTAAATTAATCAAATGAATAGTGTTTATGCCTCAGTTTATGTCATATATTAAACGATCTAATAAAATATTGTTCTAAGGTTTTGGATAGTTATTTCGCTATCATCTGCAGAACGAATTTTCCGTATCAATCTGGTATGTCAGAGATAAAGAGTTCACCGTTACTTTATTTTTTTACTAGTTGTATTGTGGACTGCATACCAGGGAATCAAAAGATACTGAATTTTATTTTCTAGCCAATTTTTGAATTTTTATTCCTTACTTCAAAATCCAGATTTACTCGTCATCCCCATCGTGAAAATAACAGCAGATGAGTTTTAAATAATTCTTAATTAATATCAAACTATCAGTTAAAATTAAATGAGTATAATGTTTAATATTATGATGAAGCAAACGAAATTTGTTATTAATCTTACCTGAAGAACAGGACTAACACCCTGTGGCAAGCTGCGGGGTATCCACGCCAATGTCGCCGGCACTCCAGCCCTTAGACGAGGAATGCCCAAGTATAACCTATCCCACCCTATTTCAAGCCCCGTAGGTACCGTGTTCTCAGGTTGAAATTTTTCCAGAAGAACTGGGTCTGGAGGAAAGTCAAATTGCATCAAACTCCATTGGTTTACGACTTCTAAGGTAGCGCTTGCTGCGGCCGCACATGCCAGCAGCATCACAACTTGATACTTCATAGTGAATGCCTGGAAAATAAACATTTTGTGATTGAGTAAATTGCAATCATTCTTGTGACCGGTGACTCTTGGGTTCTCGGACATTTATAGCCTTGCAAAACGATATAAAATCTGTATTAATTTTAATTAAGTTAAAAAATTGTATGTGTGAGTATTTTATAAAGTAAATACTGGGAATGTAAAGAAATGTGCAAATCTACTACCAAAGATTAGAGGAAGTTTACAATATAATATGTATTGCCCACATGTAATTTAATCATAAATGTTTTTCATATACAGCGGCGTCAGTACTCTGATACTCTATAACTAAAGTTTTACTTAACACTTAAAAATCCGCTTTTACCGCTAATAATTTAATAGTTTTATGAATAAATAATTACCTACTGCTCAAAGCTTTTTGCGACACAACCCTAACATTGCTTCTTAAGTGACTTACGTCTGCGGAACATATTCAGATTTCAATTAAAGATATAAAACTCGCGTCTAAATGTCTAAGCACACAACCTGAAGGACAATTCTCGTGATAAAAGTTCGATCAAAATTCAGTTCCGATCTACTCTCGATCTCACAAATAGCATAAAAGGAATTTTCGTAGTAAAACCTAAGACCAGCAGATTACCAATTCAACTTTCGGTCACATTAAAGTAAATGTTGGATGTTTAACACTTTACTACCAAAAACATTTTTATGACATTTGTAAGATCGAGAGTAGATCGGAACTAAATTTTGATAGAATTCTGTTACGAGAATTAACCTTCTGGGTGTAGGTAACTATAAAAAGTACCTGAAATGCTACGTTCTGGTTTTAATACTTATGATTATGTATGCTGATTACGATATTTAAAATATACTGATAATAATATTATCCTATTAAATAAGCCTGACATCATTCCGCGAAACAAAAAACAAACAATTTGGCGATAATGACCTAGTGAGGCTCACGAACGACTTTTACCTTTGGCTCAAGGACGTTTCCGCCAGTATAAGGAAACTATTGTGACGTTGAGCCGCACGCCACTACATTTTCGGTTCATTTGCGAGTCGTATACCGTAATTTTGCACTTATCTCTTATATCATTTAATGGAATCGTAACGACAACAACTCAAGAGCACTCGCCTACTGGTTAAAATAAAAATGGTGTTTACACCAAAAAAGCTTTTTTATTAGTATATTGTTTTGAACATTTGTTCCGTGTCTGTGTGTAATTTCTTATTTGTTTTTTAATACAAAGCACTAGGCATATTTCTTAGGGACTTTAGCGGGGGGCGTAGCATGTGGTGATCGAACCCACAACACTCAGCGTAGGAAGCGGCGTGGCGACCGCTTAAACCACTACGCCATCCGTGCAATCATAATTAGAATTATATAAGTATGTTAATTAGCAGTCTGGTTACCATAGCACAGGCTCAGCCTTTTTAGCATGTTGGTGTCTTGTATGAGTCCTTGTTTCAGGCTGGTTTTTGATGAACGATGTTGCCAACCTGATTATGTCTGTGAATGTAGTCGGTTTGTGCGAGTGTCGTGCATGCTCCTATTATGTGCTGTACCTATAGTTTCACATTGAGTGTTACATCGGCGGCATTTATCGTTTGTAAGAGTGGGCTCTTTACTGATATATTTTCGGTAGGTTTTGGTGTTGATGATTTGATCTTGTATGGCCATCATAAATCCTTCAGTTTCAGGGAACAAGTTGCACTTGTGAGGCGCTATTGTATTAATGTGGGGCTTCTCTATATCATGAGGGTGTCCATTATTATTATGATATAACTAGCTAAGACCCGCGGTGTTACCCGCGTTTGTTGTTATAACCACGGGCAACGCCGCGGGGCGAATCTAGTCTAAAAAAAGTAGCCTAAGTTACTCGATATGTCATCAGCTATCTGCCGGTGAAAGTCCCGTCGAAATTGGTTAAGCCGTTCCAGAGATTGGCATTGTGCCGTGACCTCCCATCCAATTCGATTTAGTTACTCACTAAGCCACCGTGCCCGGTGAGCATCTGAGTCAATGGGTAGGTGACACAGTCGTTCCTCTTTACCCACGCTTAGAGTGGATGTCGCACCTAGTGCTAAGTATAAGACTATTGTGACCGTACTAGAATAAGAAGTTTTGCCGAAACTTGCCTTAAAGCCTTCGTTCTAAGTTGACTGTCTATTGTAAGTTTCAGATCGGAATCAGTTGTGTCTGAGATTACAAATCAAAAAGCTTTGACTTTCGAATATTCGTAAACATTTGCGAACATTGACTAATGGAGTCTCTATGTAAACTAATATAATTTTAATAAAATATTACTTGATATGCATTTGTGAGTTTTTATATGCATCTTATGTATAAAATTCTCGTGTCACAATGTTCGTTCCCGTACTCCTCCGAAACGGCTTGACCGATTCTCATGAAATTTTGTGTGCACATCGGGTAGGTCTGAGAATCGGCCAACATCGATTTTTCATACCCCTAAATGGTAAGGGTGACCCATCCCTAAAATTTTTTTAGGCAAAGCAACGTTTGCCGTGTCAGCTAGTTTTTTTAGCGGGTTCGATTCCCGCTCAAGTCAAACATTTGTGTGCATGAACATTTGATGTTTGATTTGGTCTGGGTGTTTCTATGTATAATATGTATGTATTTACAAAAAAAAAGTATTTATGTATTTACATCAGTTGTCTAGTATCCATAGTAGAAGCTCTGCTTAGTTTGGGACTAGATGGCGTTGTGTGTATGTGGTAGAATATTATTATTATTATTATTATTTATATTACTGTTTCTGTGACCGTGAAAAAACTAAATTGCGCAGTATTTTCAAAAATGAGCTCCGAGACCATGAATGGACTAGTAAACATTGTAAGTAGTCACCTGCCGTTCTTGGTTATTGTGGGAGATGATTATGTTACATTTCATGCCACGTCTGTATTTGAAACAACGTAACTAATATTTACAACGTTATTAAATCTTTAAAAAATGTACAAAGAAAAAGAAATTACACTCATGATTGAATTTGACCAATCAGGACTCTTAGATTTAATTTTAAATGGCATTGAGTGCATTAAATGATATTTACATAGGCATGAACTCCATATTTTAGTGATCTCCTTTACCTTGTAAACAAAACACTTGAAAATAATCATTTCGAAAAATAGGTTGTTATCTTTACACATGCAAATAAAGTCATTTTTTGTTCATGTGCGCTTAGATCATTTTAATGCGGTTATGACTAATAGAGGAAGTGATTCAAGAGGCGGGTTTATATGTATAATACATGCATATTATAGTAGAGGAAAGCCGAGATTTTTAAAGATTTGTAATGTAAAGTCGTAAAAACATGTTTTTGTGCGCTCACATTGACAACGCTGGCTGAACCTTATGAGACAGATCAAAATAATATACTACAGAATTTACTATATCTTAAAACGATTTACAAAAAACTCCGCAATAGTATATGCCTATCTCCTAAGAATAATCTACAGTAACTATTTTTATAATTTACATATCACAAAAGAATGATTTACGAAGCTATTTTGAACAGTACAGTATAATTCCTTATCCAATACATTTCCGCGTTATGCATTTAACGAAGATCAAATTTAAAACAAATATCATATAAGTAAAATATGCACGAAGTAGGTACATTAAGATCTTTGATAAGTATATTTTTAATGATTATGTTGTCTGATATCTCATTAACAAGATAGTATACATAGATAACATACAAAAAGGCAGTAAACGAAGATAAGGGAGTATTTAAGTGCTAGTTCTAGATTCTAGATCAATATCAAACGACAATACATACTTACAAGGCAATTCTTTGTATTGTGAAAGATGTACTTTGACAGCATTATTACAAGACAAGGCATTGTCTAAAGTAATACATTCTTATATTACTACATCACTGATTTAACACAGACATTACGAATTACAATTGTGATGTCAACAAGTCAGTCAAAATGTCAAGTCGTGAATATACTCAATCCTTGCAAAATTATGAAGTAAGGAGATGTAAAATTGTCTCATTGTTGTTTTCGATTCTCAAATGTCACTATCACTTAAAATTGCGATTATTTTGTGGTTGAAAAATTGATTGGAGTCTACATGGTTTAAAATGTTTCCCATTGCAAAATTAACACTGTCTTTCGAAAACAACATAAACCTTTTCGTAATTAACCTCAGTATCCAGAATGGAGATTAAATGGCCTTAAAATTGTCTAATTATACAAACCTGTTAGCCCTTCAAATTCACTCTGACAAGGCTGGTATAATAATAAACAGCCTTTTTATTTCCTATCACCTCTGCATTACATGTGTTCTTGTAACTAAATTTCACCTAAAATAATTTATTATCCACTAGACTTACTCTTGCTACTCACTCGTTTTAATCTATTTGTGTCTTCTTAAACATTTTTTGGATAGGAACCCCTCCTAGGACAAGGCTGGTATATCAATACAATAACAACACGGCCATGAACCAGTAAAGTACAACACAACTTCAAAAGATTTATGCAAGACATCTTCCATAGTTTTCTGGGTTTAGATGCTCCATCTCTCAATAGGAGTGCCTGTTACATCACGCCGGACCTCATGCTTTGATATTTAATACATATATATCGGAGATCGTTGTGCATGACAAAAAGTAGGTTTCAATGTATATAAATTAAACACAAAATAACAATAAATAAAATTTAAAATAATGTTACAATGAAAATTAGTTACCTTGTAAATAAATCAATTTCGGTGTAAAGAGAAACTCGCAAGTCGAGTTTGTTACGATTACTGATTAATACGATTTGATTTATATATATATATACAACTATAGCTGCTTATACAAAAAATACGGCATTAATTGGAGCAGTAGTTAGCTTTAAATTAAGCTTTATATTTAATTATAAATCTACAGCAACAGTTTAACACTACACTTTTGATTAAATTGAGATAATTTAGAACTGTTCGGATTAATGCCGTCCGCAGTTTTCCACAATCGTTCCACTCGGCAAAACATCTTCCTCCACTATGAATGATTGGCACTATACCAACGTGT